TCCAAGCATAGCTTAGATGTGACACAAGGCCGAAATTAGGGGGCACCAGCGAGAATCGAAGGGAAGAGCTCATCCGAACAATTACCAGGGAAGTATTTATAGAAAAGACACAGACAGGCAACATTACGGCGGTGAGAAAGTGACTGAAGTCGAGCTACGAGATTAGAACCGATAATATAGCTGATATTTTTGATTTTATCAAAGATCTCAAGGTAGATAGCAGGAACACCTGATCATATGTGTCAGCAATATTTTAAGCATGGACGAATGGTATACTTTTTTTTTTTTAAATCGGTATCATCCCATGCAAGACAGTAAAGCCACTAAGATAGAAGCGGTTACAAGGTGTGGAAGAATTCGGAACAGAAACATTAATAATGAGCGGGAAGAGGAAAGAGTAATCAGGAGAACAGTAGATAACGATTGACATTGCATTTAAATGCTTATAAATATGACATAGATATGTATGATAGATTCTGGAGAGAAAAATTGTCTCGCACGACACAGTGAACCAACTTTCATAGCAGCTGACCTAGCAATGAATTCAATATAGTCGTTCCACTACGTGTCAGCCGAGAGCGTTTTTGAAAGTGATAATTGCAATATGAAATAACAAACAAATATCCTTTGGTTAGACTTGTACAAGGTTACACGTGTCGGCTACCCAAGGGAAATGGGCCAACCTTGTTCAGTCGTAATGTTTCGGTCTTTTAAATATGTTCACTATTGGTCGACCGCGAGGCGAGCAAGAATAGTTTCCATTCGACTGCAATGAAATACTCAAGGGACGATTGCATTTGGTAGTCGTTTTCGTTGTACTGACAGCGGCATCTGAGCGTGCAAGTCGAAGTATTTGTGATATAAGTAGATATTATTTTTGTAATTGACCAGTGGGGTGGATATACGGCATTGTGTATCAGTGGACTAGATCATTCATGCAAGGGACACCGCCTATGGATTTAGTCAAGAATGGGTGGGGCGTATGTTTTTTTTTTTTTTTGCTTCCCATGAGACTGAACCTGAGATAAAAGGAATGGCGATTGGCGAGAAGAAAAAAATGTTTGGAGATAATAATACAATATATTTATTCGTACTCACGTAATTTTCATTCCAGTAACAACTGGAGATTTACTGGAAATCAAGTGGGAACAAGACTCTCCAATGCACTGCAGGACTCTACCCAGTATTTTCGTTTAATTAGTTATTGAGATTTGACACAAATCATTTATGGTGAAAAAAACATAATACAACATGACTAAACGATTGAAATTTCCCACAATCTCTGGTGGCTTTTACAAGAGATCAAGTGACAGCAAGTAGTCACTGCACTGCAGCACTCTCCTCAGTATTATTTATTATTGGGAACTGACTGAGATTTTAAACATTTACCGGTGGAGTTTACAATAAATAAAGTAAGCTCAAGTACCAGCAGCACTAAAGGACTTTCATCATTATTATTTATTATTACTTATTCACTAAGATTTGACATTCTCTGGTATTTTTAGAAGAAATCAACTCATAGCAATTACCCTCAGTCCTTCGCCAGTCTTCTTCGATTATTTTATTATCACTATCTGAATGGGATTTTACACAGTTTTTTTTTTTACTTTATATGAGATCAAGTGACAGCAAGTACCATCAGTACTACCGAACTTTTCTTAGTATTCTTTATTATTAGGAACTGACTGAAAAGTTATGCATTTACCGGTGGATTTTACAATAAATAAAGTGACAAGAAGTACCAAGAGTACTACAGGACTTACTTTAGTATTCTGTATTATAAGTTACTAGCAGTATAAGACGTCTTTAACCAAATTTTTCATTACTAGGAATTTTTGCCGTTCAATTGGAGCAGTTTAAGTTTAAAGTCAGCCGACCCGAAAATCAATATTAGTAACAACAACTGGGTGCAATTGAGGCCCATCCCCCAAATGGGGGAGTGGGTTAACAATTTGAATGGGTGGGGTGGCCCTGAAAAGGGAACTGTATAATAATAAATAATATTATTGTAATAATTTAAACTATTTAAAGTTTTTATGAAAGATATATATCCAAGAACAGATAGTAAACGCTGCTGAGAGTTATAATGGACAGGAAGTAGTGGAGAGCCATTGTCGCCAATAATTTGGACTCAAAACCGGCAATGAGGAACTATCTATCAAACAAAAAAATTTCATGAAAATCAGATGAAAACTGTGGAAATGCATAAACAACATCAGATCACACACATACATACACACACACATACATACACATATACATTTTGAGAATTATAGATATAAATTAAATGAGATCTCGTATTCTTTGGGTTTTTTTTTACAAGAGAAAGTGACAGCAAGCACCTTCTGTTCCTCGATACTCCTTTTCGATTATTTATTATTACACAGAGAGTTTGAGTTTATAAAGAATCAATTGACAGCAAGTACCATCAGTACTACAGGACTTTCCTCAGTATTCTTTCTTTTTAGGTACTGACTAATAATTTTACACTCTCTCTGGTAGATTTTTACAAGAGATCAAGTGACAAGCAAGTACTCCTTGTTCTTCAGTACTCCTCTCGGTATTATATTATTACGTATCTCACGCAATCTCTAATGGCTTTTACTTGATATCAAGTGTCTGTTAGACTCCTCACTACCTCATAAATCTATTCTATGATTGAAATTTTACATTGTTTTGCGGTTTTCACTATCGATCAGGTAACAACCTATCTTTTTCGTAATTCAGTTACACCCTCGACATTCTTCTTACTGTCAGATTTTTTCATAAACATTTCCACTTTTCTATCATCCAATTGAAGTCAAGTGGCAACAAGTATTCTCGTTAATCAACTACTTACCTTAGGATTCAAGTTGATTTTAATACCCACTGTCACCTGAAGGGTTTCCAGATTCTTGAATTTCCAGTCTTTATAACCCCCTTCCGAAGCTGCTCGTCAATGTTAAAAGCTCGCCACCAATGACGAGTACAGCTGTCACTTTCATATTTCACGTTTCTTTTCTATTTTCTGGATAGGACAAAATATTTTTAAAATTTTTTAATCATGTCACCCCCAAGCAGGAGATTACAGGTCATGTAAGTGAGAGAAGAGACTGAGTCTAGGGAGGAAAAGATAAAAGATGAACCGGATTCAAGAAGATAGAAGACAGCGATTGACATTGCATTTCAATTTTTGAAGATTGTATTTATCAGGAAAGCAAAGATACGGAAGAGAGTATCACAGACTGGAAGTGCGAGAAAAGAGGCTGCTGGAGTAGAAGTGGCGCTTGAATTTCAACCGTAAACGCATGGGATCCAGATGCCAATCTAGTTGCTCACTTGAATTCATGCAGTCGGGGCACCAGGAAAAAAAACCCTTTTCAGAGCAGTTGCCATGAAAATATTTGTAGAAAAGACAGAAGGAAGCAACGCTGATGAAAAAGTGACTGAAAGCGAGATGCCTTGTCAGGATCGATGTTTTGTAATTTCTTTTAATCAGGGTTCAACTAGAACAAGAACATGCGATGACGTGATCCGCCAACGAAGCCTAACCGTGACATAAGTTTGATACAGGTATTCCAGGCACACGCATCACAGACAAATGTTTGTGATATGATGACAGGTTTTGATAAAAGCAGCACATAACCTTACAGGTGGCAGCTCAGTTACAAATACCCTAAGCAGCCCCAGGTGTAATGTTGATTACAATCGTAGGGGAATGATTGTTAAAAACCACCCCACGCCAAATTTATGCTTGGTGCGATTTTTTTCTTCTAATCAATATAACATGGGCTATTCTTAGTCTTATCCTCGCATATTTTGTTCATTCTTGCCTTGAAATCAGAACGTTATGACCACTTGACTGTATTTCGTGTGAACATTATTCTTATTTTATGAAAATTAGCTTTATCACCGTCTTATAATTGTTTTACTTCTGACTTGCATTATATATAAGTAAGTCGAGATCTCGCGAGATAAAAATAGTGCTCTGTTTGTTGAAAATTGTTCTTTCGGGGTTAAACAGTAGTGATCTCTCCAGGACACAGGCCAGGTCGATGGTACATGGAGGTCATGCCCTGCCCAGACTAGATGACTCCCATCTCGATCGCAGCGGCAATATCCAGAAGAATACAGAGCATTTGGAACCGGGAGGAATTACCGGAAAGTTATCAGTTTTGAGAACCACCCGCTTTCGGGGCTCTAATCCGAGTTATCGGTCTGGAATTACGTATTTGGATATGACTGCAAGGCAGCCGAGGTTTAAAATCAGGGTTTTCTGTCCCCTAGACCGGATTGCCTACCCAAAGCAGCTGGTTATGAGGCACCAGTTGTCCGCCTTCGCCCGTTGTTCGGCTTGGAGATTTGTCCGAGGCTGTTTGAGACGTATGCCACGGACGCATGTTTTAGACAGTGGGAGCTTATCTCACTAAGATCCGCGGTTGTGACAACCATTGGAACATATGTAATATACATATATAAACCTTATAAACAGTACGTTATATACATTATTTTTTCCTTATTTCTGTCATTGTTTGTTGAGAATTTTGTTAATAACAGTTGTCCATGCTTTTGGACTGCCTCTCCCTACATCTACTCCCTTCCAAGATACCTTGAAGGACCGTCTTGGGTAGGGTATTGTGGCGTATGGCATGTCGACTCACAACAGCCTTCTCCTGTTTACTGTTGCCAAGAGGGACGTTTGGAGACCTGGCTGTTGTGTTACTCGTCCCTGTACAAAATCATTTATTTTGTGTCCCCTACAGGAACCCTCGAAAAGCATTTGGTAGTTTCACATCCATAGAGCAGTATGGACAGCACCAGGTACTTGTAGAGCTTCATCTTGGATGGGAAGCTGATTTTTTTGCTCTTCCAAATCTTGCTGAGTTCTGCCATTGCCGATGTTGCTAAAGTCAGTCTGGTCTCTGTTGTAGAGCTTCCAACTTTGTTGAGGGTAACGGCAAGATATTGAAAGGCATCCACTTCTTCCAGTTGTTCTCCATTCATGAAAATCCTGGGCCCTTATGTTGGTTGTGCTGTTCATCATGGCGTTACTCTTTATAATGCTCATTTCCATTCCATATGCTGATGCTCTGTCTGTCAATCTGTTGGTAAGATTGCACGACTCAATAAATTTTCTTTTTTCTTCTATCTCTGCTAAAGCATGTTCTGACATCCTTTTACTCAAGATTGCTATCTTGGTTATGAGCTGTTTTCCCCTGTCCTTCTTACCCTCAACCTGTCCCGTGAGTAAACATAATGTCATGAAAGTGTTGGTTGGCTGATTTTGTTTAGCGGCATATCAACCTCTTGGGTTACTTAATGGCGAAATCTAAATATTTTGAGCGCAATTTTATGGCTTCAAGTAAATATATTTTGAACACAATTGTATAACTTCAAATAAAGATAAAATGTATTGTTGGTAATTTAACTATAAATATGTAGTTTATACTTTCATCGTATTTTGTTTTTTGAAAAGGGTTCACTCTTTGCCTATCTGTCCCTCTTGCCTTTAATCTGTTCTGTGAGTATCAGATTTTCCAAGCCCTCTTTCCTCATTAACGTGACCTAGAAATTTCAACTGTCTCCTCCTGAAGTTAAGTATAAGTGTCCTTTTAGTTTCCATTTTTTATAAAACTTCATCGTTGTTCCCATGTTCGGTCGATAGTATTCTCAGCATCCTTCTGTAGAACCACATTTCTGTTGTTTCAAGTCTTTTCATCTGTGTCCAGCAGTCATTGGCATATAGGAGGACTGATATTACGTAACAATTTAGTACTCTTTTCCTTGTTTCTGACGCCATTTTTCTGTTTCCTTTCTTAATACTTTGCTTGGGTTTTAAAGGCACATTTTTAAAAAAGTGCTTTAGGATTTCAGGGTCGAACTCTGAGGAAAATTTAAGGGTTCATGCCTTTTTCAAGACTAATTTTCTAGATTACTTCGGACTAGAGGAATTTTTTTCTCTAAAGGTTTATTTTTTTATCATACATTTAAAAATAATAGTAACGACGAAATTAACTCGTGACTGGATAAATTTCCTTAAAAATGTATCCATTTTGCCTAATCGACCTTGCTGGTTTTATGGAAATTTTGGGACTAGCGGATTTTAAATTTTAGCTAAACCATGTATAAAAAAATGGCTACCATGAACTAATAGTTCAATAATTGTGTCATTCAAAATACATCATTGGTGAATGAAACATGAGATACCAATCAGTTTGTTTCCCAATTTCTTTCTCTGTCTATCCAGGTCTATAGCGATTTGATTTGTTCGCTTTCTTTTTCCTCACGTACGCCTCCATCAAGTCCTCGAGGCGTGTTAGTAGCTGAGAATGTCACTCATATACTTCAGCATTTGCTTGTGACGGTTCAGAGCGACACAGATCTTTTAAGGGTGGAGGCCTTGAATTCCACGAATATGGTGTCACTGGGCGGCAGGGAGTCGTAACTCGAGGAAGGCAGAAATATTACATGTGCGTAGAACGGACTATCTGTCTGCCAATCTCTCTCTTTCTCTCTCTCTCTCTCTCTCTCTCTATATATATATATATATATATATATATATATCCGTCTATTCGTTATCTATCTATCTATCTATCTATCTATCTATCTATCTATCTATCTATCAGTATGATTGATATGCGCACTTTCATGGCGACTCAACGTATCTAATTTGGAGCAGATAGAAATTCTGAAAATTTCGAACGATTTTCTAGACGGAGATGTATTTTATACTCGGAATAGTGACATTGTCGTAACGAACCCTTTATTTCGTTCATGGCACAGTGGATAAAGGCGTTAGTGAGATCCAGTGACAGGACCCAAAGAGTGTGTGTTCAATACCTTGGTTAAGGCGGTGGAGAACTTGGAGAGGTGAATTAACAGGAGATAACTGATAACTGACATCCATTGACATGGCACGTAGAACTAGAACAGTCTACACCAGCGAGTGAAATAAAGGGTTCTGTTCGACATTCTAACCACCTGAAGAAAGACGGAGCGTACAATGGGTGAAACGTTTTGATAAATATGGCAACAAAGATTAGGACAATAATCCGAAGAATGTAAATAGATTGTTTCATGCTAGATGCAATCGTCAGGTCACAACAGTCTGCCGCCTCTGAGCGTTGATTTCAATGCCCATTTTTCAGAAAACAGTCTGCCTGCCTTATGTGAAGGGGTTATCAGAGAAAATACAAAGGATCTGCGGTCCATATAACATCAGGACTACCTTCAAAAGCGTGACAACACTTCGCAGGTATCTCTCACGAGTGAGACCCCCCATAGAGAGGAACATGACTAAAGACTGTGTGTACGCTATCCCATGCAGCTGCGGAAAGGAATATAAAGGAGAGACAGGCCGCCCCCTCAAGGTAAGGCTTCAAGAACACCAGAAAGCTGTAACGCGAGGGGAAGTAGAAAAATCAGGCGTGGCTGACCACATATGGAGAGAGAAGGGAGATCACCGCCCCCTGTGGGATCATGTTGAGATCATAGACAGGGAACACCATTGGAAAATTCGTAAACTTAAGGAATCAGCACATATGCTAGGCCACAAAAATCTCCTGAGCCGACCAAGCATAGAAATAAATACAATATGGGAACCAGTAATAAGGAGTGCCAGAGAAAAGCAATGATAACAAAGTTGCAATATGAACTCTGGTAAAGACATGCAATGAAAACAGCAAAAATTGCAATATGAGCACTGGTAAAAATGCTGAAAACATTAGGTTTATAATACTCAGAAGTTCATACCCAGATGTCCACAAGGACACATGGCAAAGTGGATAAAGGCGTTGATTAGATCCAGTGACAGACCCAAAGAAGGTGAGTTCAATTCCTGGTTAAGGCAGTGGAGAACTTTCAGAGGGAAAATTAGCAGGAGATAACTGACATCCATCAAACGTGGAATTAGAACAAAATAGTGATCAAAATAAAGGGTTCAGTTCGAAATTCCAACCACCTGAAGAAGGCCGGAGCGTACAACGGCCGAAACGTTGTGACAAATATGGCGACAAATATGGGGACAATAGTCCGACTAATGTAAATACTGCCCATTTTTATATTTATTGAGCACTTTATCTCATAAATATTGCACATCTCACTCAAAACTCAGTTCAGTTAAGAACACTCTAACATTTTGCTAAGCCGACTATGTAAGGAACGCTAAACTATAGCGGATGTTACTGGATGTAATCTATTTGCCTAATAAAACGAAAGTCGGTAAAGGTTGTTGTCGGTGAATTTTTATTCACTTACTTATTTATATATTTATAAATATATTAGAGTTTTTACTAGGTTAATTAAAAAATGTGTTCGTATTTCAAGCTTTAATTAATAGTTTAAAGAAATTACATATGAAAAACATTTATTCATCAATATATATATATATATATATATATATATATATCCCATCCTATCTTATTGTCTATCACCACCATTGTGTCAAAAGCTCAATTCCAGGCTTATAACATTTGTGAGTCTTCAATTGACCAATGCCAGGTAGTGGACTCTCAAAGTATCTTACACGAGCTTCTGTTGAGCAGAAAGGTCAGCGTTCACAGTATGGTCATCTGGGACAAGCTGGATGTGCAACCCCCCACCGCCTGGAAATTCCACCAAACACACATGACCTTCTGTTCAAACTGCCCTTGTTTGTTTGACAGCAAGTTCTGTAGGGCCTGGCCGAAATGAAGCCACTGATTTCTCTTATTAGGATTATGAAAATATTCACACTTTGTTGAACTTTGCCATTGATCAGTTCATGATAAACTTCTTGTCTGCATCCGTTTACAGGGCCGAGCTTATGGAAATCTAATTGATGGTGCTTTGTTAGGGACAATGTATGAATGCTTCTGCCTGGCTATTGTTCAACAATTTCAAGCAAGGCCATGTTTTTTCTTCGAGACTGATTTTACCTTCCTTGAAATATCTGAACCAGTTTTGTTTGCCCTTGGTTGCATTAGCAGTGTGTTCTGGGGCATTGTCATGCTGTAGGAGTGTGCGTCTTCGATTAACCAGTGCCAGGTAGCGGGCTTTCAAAGTATCTTTAACTCGCTGCAATTATTGTGCATAAAGGTCACAGCATGACCATCTGGGACAAGCTCAAAAATGCAACACCCACTCGCAATTCCTAATTTTCTTCAAACTGCCTTTGTTTGACAACGAATTCTGAAGCACGGCCGGAACGAAACCACTATATGAAAATAGATTCATTTTTAATCTCCAGTTATAATACGATGCCAAAAACGGACAAATTGAGGATTTACCAGCAGTTGGTTGCAAATATTCACAAGTCGTCGAGTTTAGTCATTATTCACTTCACGAAAGCGTCTGTTCACAAGGTCCGTGCTTATGGAAGTATTGATTGATGGTGCTTTGTGAAAGACCAAGTTCGGTCAACAATGTACGGGTACTTGAGCTTGCCTGCTGTTTGACCATTGTTTGGACAGTTGCTCTCATTTTTGTTGTCATATTCATGATATTTCGTCTGTTGTACGCTCCAGCCTTCTTCAGATGATTGGAATTTTGAACGGAAAATTATTTATTTTGTCCACGGAGCTAGATTGCTTTAGTTGCCACTTCAGAAGGAAATAACTATAAAGCGAGATACTTGGAAGTGACATGCCACATGGAACTGGAACTGTCCCACTGGATGAAATAATTAAAAATTCCAATCACTTGAATAAGGCCGGAGCTACAATGGCCAAAACGTTGAGAATATGGCAAGATGCGAACAACAATGTACAGTGTAAATAGTTACAAAATATTGACAGATAATGGAGATACAAGTTGTCAAAAATCATGAGTGAAAATCCGAAAAAACATTTGACTCAAGCTGGTAGTTGTCTATAAAATTGGTCAGTTCATGAGGATCTTCTTGTCGGCATCTGTTCACAGGGCCGAGCTTAGGGAAGTGGCAATTGATGGTGCTTTGTGAAGGACCAAGTTCTACTGATAATGTACAAGTGCTTCTGCTTGGCTATTGTTCAACAATTTCAAGCAAGGCCTCATCTTCCACAACAGAAGGTCTCTTTGACCTTGGTTCTTTTTTTTCGAGTCTGATGTTACCCTCTTTGAAATGTTTGAACAAGTTTTGTGCCATTATGTTCATTGACTATGCCTGGTACTTCCACGTCATTAATTTCTTTTGCCATTACCCTTGCATTTAGTCCTGTTCTCCACAGGTAGCATAAAATGGTTCTAATTGCAATATTTTCACCACTCATTATCAAAGCTGTAAAATAAAGAGTAAACAATGTTTATATGTTATATATGGAAATAAAGAATAAACAATTAAGCAATGATTGAACAAATTAATGATATAACATGGAGACACATGTTAACAAAAGTCATCAGTGAAAATCCGAAAAAAATTCAAATCAACAAGGCATTATTTATAATTTTATTTTCATAAATTATTTATGCATGTATCTATTTATATATGCATTTATTTTAAATATTTATTATATGTTTTCTTTTAAAGCTTTGATAAGACTTGAACAATACAATTGATTATTAATTATCAGTTTGCTTATATCTATCTGTCTATCACTTCACCCCTCTCTCTCTCTCTCTCTCTCTCTCTCTATATATATATATATATATATATATATATCAGTCTAATCCTATCTATTTCAGTCTATTCCTATCTATCTATCTATATCAGTTCATTGCTATCTATATATTGCAGTCCTTTCATTTCTATATATCAGTTTATCCGTCTATCTCACTCTCCTCATATCTATCTATCTATCTATCTATCTATCTATCTATCTATCTATCTATCTATCTATCTATATGTTTGTGTAATCTTATCTAGCTTGCTAGATATTTCAGTCTATTCATTCTATCTATATATCTATCTATTTCAGTCTATTCCTCTCTCTCTCTCTCTCTCTCTCTATATATATATATATATATATATATATATATATATATATATAGGAATGCGTAGGCTAAAAATATTTACATACACGTACATATACTTGCACGTACATATAAATACATTTCTTCCTCAGGTGTTATAAATACAGTGCTCAATGTTATGTAACAGAACTATATGTATATATTAGTGAATATGTATAATATCCAAAGTCTGTAACACGACTCGGATTTCAGAATATACTCAGCACTGAAGATTGCAATATTGCATGAAACACCGAGCCGTGCTATCGACGTTCGATATTATGTGTATTCGTAACATATAAAGACATATGGTCTGATTGTTATTGCAAATTGTTATTGTTATTTCTCAAAATAAAATCTTAGAAATCTCTCAATTCGTATTTAAACCAACAAATATTGGTCTGCTTATTGAGAAATACTATTTTTACAATAACAATCAAATTCTAAGTCTTTTAAAATAACACGATTGAATATACCAAGACCCTCAAGTATTTTCATCAAATTACTTAATAAATTAACAGCCGAAATAAAACCTTCGTGAACATAAGAACGATGGTAAACATGTTCTCTTTCTTGATTGTCTGTCATATTCAGTGTTATTTAAGTCCCTTTTGATACTCCAGCAGTATCATGTACAATGGAATAGGTGCATTCAATTGGGGTGTATTTAGTTGGAGTTTCTTTCCAAATGTGAAAATGCTCTCAATTTGCTTGGTTTCCTTCCGTAGTGAAGGGATAAGTGTTGGGCTGAATTTATGAATATCAAACAGAGGATTTGAGAGTTTCATATTTTTTCATGTTCTCTTAATTATCGAGTTTACTAAAGTGTATTACTGATAACGTTTATCAGTTAATTTGAATTTTGGCGATAAATTGGAAAAATTCGGCATTTCTATTTTAAAATTTTTGACTCAAAAACACTTTTTTCTTATAAAAGTAGTTTATTTCAGGTGTCTGACATAAATTGCTCAGCCTACCTGAACATCGATGGGTTTCTACGGCCTTTATTAACTAAATTTTGCGATTAGTCAAGATTGTGAATTGATTTTGTTTCCATAAATGAGCAATTTATTTCAGTACAGCCAAAATGGTAGCTAACCATGAAAAACTAAGGTCAATTACGAAATCAGCACCAGCAAATTAGCTAAAACATGTGTTTTATTTCTTGGCACCAACAATCGTGTTGACCAGTGTTATTAATTGTAGTTCGGAATGTGCAAGGCTGGTCTTCCATGCTGGTTGGCCGGTCGTGTAATTTAAATAAGGCATATTTGGGCAGCAACCTTTCTATCATGCATGAATATGACAGCCATTGGTCGTAGGGGGGGGGCGTCTAAGTAGCAGATGACAAGCTCTGCATCTTGTGCAACGGAATAGATTGTATTACTTAATAGCAAATGTAAATTCTGGAACCTGTCCGATCACTCATATTTTATTTATTAAACAGTATATTTATTTTCGTCTATCGGCCTGAATGTTTGAGAAATCTTATTCAAGAAATCTCTGGCAGGATTCGAACATTTGCCCCTCTTGCCTCGTTAGATATGGAAAGTCCTAATCAACTAAGCTACGAAAATCTGGTTTTCTTCCACGCACGAAATTCTAGCATTAAGCGAAACTTCACTTGTCGTAGATAGATTTATTTATTTATTTATCTCTCTCTCTTTCTCCCCCCTCTCTCTCTATATATATATTTATTTATGTATATAAATATATATATATATATATATATATGTATATATATAGATGTATATGTATATCTATATCTATATGTATTTATGTATATATATATGTATATATGTATATATATGTATGTATATATATATGTAAGTATATATATATATATATGTTTATATGTATGTATATATATATATATATATATATATATATATGTGTATGTATATATATATATGTAAGTATATATATATATATATGTATATATATATGTATGTATATATGCATTAAGTCATTTTTCTCTACCACCGGTAAATCGGTGATCAGGGCTGAAATGGTTCAGACAAAAGATGCATTGTGTGACCCTGGCGTAAATTTACAGCGTAAAATTACGAAATTAGTGCACTTTCAATATACTTTTACATCCTGAGATTTATTAAGGCGAAAATCGACTTCCTGCATCCAGAATATGGAATAAAATATTATATGAACCTGGCATAACTACTTCTTTTTACTAAAAACTTAATAACAGTCACTGGTCACTGGTTATTGTTCCTCCTTGTCCTCATAATCATAATTTCATACTAGAATCTCTTTAATACATATTACACGCGTCATTTATCATTAACAGTTTAACAGTAACCTCTAGCTTATACGGCTCTTGAGCCTTGTACTAGGTGAATTCTAATATAAAAAGGGATGTTTAAAAAAGTGACTTTATGTATAGTCATTCATCCTAATATGTCTAACCTTAATTTCGACATAAAAAATGCAGTTTTCAGAAAAGGAGAAACTAATTAATCGAGAAAAACGTTATTAGTCTGAAGAAGTAATTTTGATGGAAAAAACGTGTTACATAGATTGTTTTTTAAATTTTGTCATCCAATTATCTTTATATAGACAGATAAATAGTTTTGAATTGACTAACATATATATATATATATAAAAGAAATTCCTCTAGACCAACTTAGAAATAAAAAGAAACGTAACGTCGAACAAACTCTAGCATATGTTTCAACGTACAACAAAAACAACCCAGAAATATTCCCAGAAATCACAAAAAATCTAGATTTACTTAGCAAGAATAATAAACTGAATAATATACTAAAACAACCAAAATAATTAAGAGCAAACGCCAATCTAGAAACCTAAAACACATATTAACCTCATCTAAATTTAGTCAACACAAAATACAGGGAGTCACAAAATGCAACAAAAAAGATGTGGAGTTTGTGACATCATTATAGAAGGAAACTCCTACACTTTTGAAAACCCAAAAAAACATTCACAATAAACAAAAACTTAAACTGCAACTCCAAAAATGTAGTTTATGCACTTAAATGCACAAAATGTAAGAAGTCATATATAGGCATCAGCCAACAACTGAACAACAGGGTCTCCCTACACAAAAAGCAATATAAAATTGACAGACAACAGAAAACTTTTTTGTATCACAACACATTTTCAAATGTAACCAGGGTAAGTTTAATATCATGCCGATATATCAAACAGACAATTACTCGTATCTACAAATACAGGAAAAAAACTTTATAGACAAATTCAAACCCGAACTGAATAGATCGTAACCCCCCCACAAAAAAAAAAAAAAAAAAAAATGCACACAGGGTGACCAAATACAATGATCGCTCACATACATGGACGCACACTCATATACGGGAGACACGAGGAGAGATATATATATGTGTATGTACACATACATACATTTATGTATGTATATGCGGATGTTGACAACTTAAGAAGTACGTGTGTGTGTGTGTGTGTGTGTGTGTGTGTGTGTGTGTATGTGTGTGTGTGTATGTGTGTGTACTGGTTCCATGTAGCTTGGGAAATATGTGTGTATATGTGTGTGTGTACTGACTACTTGTGGTAGGATAGTGTGTATGTGTGTGTATGCGTGTATAGGTACAAATAAGTTTACGAATTCCTCGTAGTAAGGAAATATACGCACGCATATATACACGCATGCTGACAGGAACACGCCAAAATAGAAACAGATCCAAGAGCACATAGAGGTCACTAAAACATTAAAAGATTAAATGCCGATAACTACTCGCTGGACAAACCTTAATTGTTTTATGACCCTTCACGCAGAACTCTTCATTGACAATTCTAGAAAGAAAATTCGGATTGCCAACACACAAACAGAATGTCTCATATCGAGAATATTCCACATTGAACATGAAGAAAAATTAATTATTTTAATAATATGTAAAAATCTCCACTTTCACCTGAAGACGGTTTGCGAGACCAGACCAGAAACACGTGTCGTGAAATTATGTAAAACAAAGTATAATATTTTTTCTCAATAAATCCACATTACAACCAAAAACGTTTGCGGCACCCCTCTTCTTTTTAATATATATATATATATATATATATATATATATATATATATATATATATATATTTAGTCAATTCAAAACTATTTATCTGTCTATATCTGTATCTATCGCATTCGTTTTATATCTATTTCAGTCTATTCACATCTATCTATCTATCTATCTATCTATCTATCTATCTATCTATCTATCTATTTCAGCCTGTTCATGTCTATCTATCTATCGCAGTCTATACATATCTATCTATCTATCTATCTATCTATCTATCTATCTATCTATCTATCTATCTATCGCAGTCTACTCATATCTATCTATCTATCTATCTATCTAACTATCTATCTATCTAAACGATATGATCCCTCCGGTGATACGCTCACCTCTCTGGTGTGAATTTGTCTTTCCAATTCTGAACCTTACACAAGATGATGAATGAAAAACTTGCATATTTTTGTCGTCATTGTTGTACGTTCCTTTTTTTTGTTTTTTGTTTTAACGGCATTTTCCCTTCATATCATTGCGAAGAATTATGTCTTTCTTACCCTTTTTGTTCGACCGACATTCCGACTCTAACCGTCACTGCCTCTTTTTAAATGACGCTGACCTTGTCACACAACCTCCTTTTACTATTTTTACTCACCTTTCTTTTCCTTGCATACCTGTTTTTCAAATGCTTTTTGTCTTGTCCGCGTGCGCTTGCCGACTAAAATCCATCGTTACAGTTGAGGTCTGTGAGAAACACCAAATTAAAGGCTCCATGAATGTAACTGGCGAATGTCGCCAATAAAAAGGAGAACTTCTAGGGTTGATAGATGAAGCTAAAAAGTAGCGAATTTGGCTCGATTTGAAATCCAAGACTGTGTGAATTTAAAAATTTTTTACAAATTAAAAGATTAAAATGGGCACATTTCATTGGCAGCAAACCAATTTGAAATCTCTTTCTATAAGGTTTTAATGTTCTTTTCTTACATTCCAAATTGTGCTTACATGTAAACTATCTCCGTCTCATCTATCTATCTATCTATATAATTTTCTTCTATCTATATATCTATCTACTTATTCTCTTCTATCTATCTATCTATCTATCTATCTATCTATCTATCTATCGCATTCTCTTCTATCTATCTATTTATCTATTTCAATCATTTCACAACTATCTATTTATATCAGTCTATTCATATCTATCTCAAACTATTCATATCTATCTATCTATCTATCTATCTATCTATCTATCTATCTATCTATCTCAGTCTATTCATAACATATACGATTGGTAGATTAAATTGCGCTCGATTTGAAAATCAAACCCTTGTAATTTTGGTAACCAACCCTACAAAATAAATGATTTAAATGAAATGCTGTTTTTCATTGGCAGCAAAAGCATATTGAAATGTTTTCGTATGACTAATTTTAATGCTATACCTTTCATTACAATTGTGCCCACATGTAATTCCTTTTGTTTTAGTTTCCTTTTTCTAGTTGCGAACGTCTGAACAAGTGGAACTGGTGTAGTTCCTACTTGTGAAGATCTGAACTGCTGAAATGCAGTTAAATTGGCTATTAGGTCTCACAGCCCTAGCTGTGAAGATCTGAACTGCTGGAACTGGTGAAGTAGTGAGTAATGATCCAACCAGTTTATGCGCTCTCTCCCAGAAAAGTTAAGGTCAACTCAGCTTTTTTTTGCAGTATGAACCAGAGGTAGGCTTTGTAGGTATTAAAGACACATAAATGTGCCTGAGCTAGTGTCTGCAACAAGGATTACTTAGCAGCGCTTATATACTAGCATATTCGGAAACGAGCAGCCATTATTATTATTATTATTATTATTCCGTTGTTCAGAAAGTGAATTCACATATTAGAGAGGGAATAAAAAAAAACATTCAAGCGAAGGGAGAATTTAAATTTACCTAAATAGCAGTCGGGTTGCAACAACCAGAAACCTGCCAACCCTGTACCCCACTATGAAGAGTCGTATCACCAAAAATTCATGACAGAGGCACGATTATTAAGATCACAGAAGAAGGAACCGCAAACCCCATCCTAAACAGGAAACTCGGGATAAGCTTTTACTCCTAGTTGCATAATATCGAGGTTCTTACAGTACCATGTCGTGAGTAGATAAGCGTCCCTGCAAGCGCTTTCGTGGGCAAACATAAGTTTTATTAAGTTTTCCCCGTCCTGGGTATGACGATAAATTACATCCGACAGTAAGAACTCTGATCAGGAGGTTTTGAGGAGCGTGGAACCACCTCTTAATTGCTGGTTTTCCCAGGTCTACCCTGACCCGGGTGGTAGCACCTGTTAGGGTCTCATCTTTGGGCAAATAGTTAACCCCTAAACTATGTTAGTGTATAAATAGGTTTTAATACCAGAAATACTTTTTTGTAAAAAAATATTACCAGCAATACATTATTACCAGTAATGCATTTTTGAAAATATATATATATATATATATATTATTACCAGCTATACAGTTTTTGAAAAAAATATTACTATCAATAGATTTTTGAAGAAAAAAATATTGCCAGCAATACATTTTTGGAAAAAAAAATTACCAACAATAAAAATTTTGTCGGCATTAAATAACCCATTGAAATTGATATACCGTGAAACAAAACATACCAAACCAAACTAAACCAAGTTTCTTTCCCCAAGTGTGAAAATTTAAATCTCAAGAGATGAGAGATGAACTGGATATTAACCTCAGTCATATAAAGTGAAAAAAAACGTAAAATAGTACCTACAGATATTTTCATGGAAACTGATACGTTGTCCTCCTTGGTACTTCGTCTGCAGTTAAATTGGCTATTAGGTCTCACTGCTTTACTGTTGAACTAACTAAATACAATCGTATAGTGATTTTCTAAGCACAAGGTCGAAAATATTGCCAGAGGATGGAACTCACGATTCAGTTGATCTAATGGGACAATCTTGTTAACCATTATACCACGTCAAAGAGCCCGGATACAACCGTATATTCTATTCTAATAGTTTTATTGCGTTTCTCATCTGTGGTAGACCGTCTTGATTTCTTGCCACCAACAATTTTAAAAGATTTAAATACAATGCCAATGGATATCTGTTTTTTTCTGAAAATCGGTCTTTTATTGTCCTTTCTCATCACTTCTCCTCGGCTTTTCCCGTTCTCTTTCACTCCCGAGTAACCGACCGTGTCCTAGCGGCATTGTCGCCTTGGTTGAGGTGAAATGATTAAAAGAAAAATATTGATATTACTCATTATTCTTTGGATTTTGACAAGGAGCTCAAAGTAAATAGCAAGGACACCGGGTCATATGAAGCAGCAATATTTTAAGCATGGACAAATGGTAGACTTATAGATATGTATGATAGATTCTGGCGAGAAAATTGTTTTACACGATACAGTAAACCAGCTTTTTACACGATACAGTAAACCAGCTTGACCTAGCAATAGATTCAATATAGTCTTTCCACTTCATGTCAACTGAGAACGTTAGCCCGGGAAGGCGTAACGAGTCACTTTCCTGGAGGTTAGCATCGGTCATACTGATGGAAGGCAGAATGGGGTCTTTTAGATGATTAATGAAGAGAAGTTTAGTTTTTTTGGGGGGTAGGAGGGGCGTTAAAATCAACAAGCCATCTTTTGCTCCAGTTGAGGTCGTTTTAGACATCGGCTGACATTTTGTCCTTGTCGGACTGATCAGCCTTACTATCGAGGCAGGTTGTGTCATTAGCGTATATATCAAGTTGAGAGTTGATGCTATCGTAAAGGTCATTAATGAAAAATTGAACTGATCCGCATTTTGTGTGGCTTTTTAAAATGCCTGTAAAATTATTTCACGCTGATTTAATTATTAAATTTTGAATATTACTATGAATTAGGTACCTCCACAGATTAGCGATATCTAAAGTTTAAAATAAATTTTTAAAAATGAAAAATCTTTCTTGGAGTCTTTATTTTATGATTCTCAGACGAGCTGCTCTTACCTTTTTGGTGATGGCATAGTTATAACGGTGAAAAAAATGGCGGCGGACATCTGGCACGTCATTAAAAAATGTGAAATATTTCACCTCGGACTCGATTAAGCTATAAACAATATCCACGATCCGATAGGAAAGAGATTTTATACTATATCCAAGTCTACTTTAAAGCTACATTCAGCAGCAAGACCACTAGAACGGGATATTGGAGGTTTTGAGGAGCGTAGAACCACCTCTTAATTGATGTTGTTCCAGGCCCTTCCTGACTCGAGGTAGTAGCACCTGTCAGGGTCCCAGCCATGGGCAAATAGTGCTCTCATAAACCTTCCTCTTTAGTTTCTCGTCTTCACAAATTCAAGCGAAGCATACGGCCATATAGCGTTGAAACAGCTCTTACTGTACGAACGCCGAAGTTAAGCAACGTCGAGCTTGGTCAGTACCTAGATGGGTGAACGCTTGGGAATACCAGGAGCTGTAAACTTGGACGTGCGCGTGATGTGATAGATAATGGCTCACAGTTGTTAATCGGGGAGCTGAGTTCCAATTCCAGCCGGGATTGTTATATTCACTTATATGCAAATAACCTTGGGAAAGGCATGAACTCACTTCTTCTCTCTCCAGCTATGGGTTAATTAGTATTTGTATTTTTAAATGATTGTTACCACAAGAATATTTTCCAATCTAATACTATTTTCTGGCTTTAAATAACCTGCAAAGGGTTGATACGCCGTGAAAATTAATGAATGAATCAATCATCAAAAGGCACATTTCTTTTGAATATTTTTTTTCTTACTAGTATTGTCATTTTACTTTTTTATTTTATTTTTTATGCCACTTTAATTCAGCGGTCAGTCTACTGCAGTAAACAGAAGGCATGGGTCGGAAAATGTAAATAGCGTAAATAATGATAACTCAGTCAGGTGGGATTACATGGAGAGAAAATATTATCATCTATATAATAAATGTGAATGTCAGTGTAGCCGAATATATCAGACCAGTTTGGAATCAGTTTGGAATCAGTTTGGAATCAGTTTGGAATCAGTTTGGAATCAGGCTGAATATCTTAGCAAATTCAAAACATTCCGTGTCGGATCTGGACACGCAATCCTGAAATTTTAGATTCCCAAGTTTTCATTACTGAGATTGTTTTCAATTCCACCATCTTGGTTTCTACTGATAAAACAATTAATAGGACACAACTCTCTAACTTTCAATAGCTCATGTTCAAATGAAAAAATTACTGTTCTCAAATTACAATGTTTCAAAATAAAATTTGTTTCGTGAAAATTTTTTACGTGATTTTTTGCGACGGATTTTTTGTACGGTAACAATTTTTATAACTTGGAAATAAATTTGGGTATAATCTAAATTAATTGCGAAATCCAGCGAAAGTCACCCATGAAGTAAAAATAAATGTTTGTATCGAAAGTAAGAACCTACGTGCATCAAATTGTCTTTAAATTAAGTGGAGGCAGAAGAATTATCATTGAACTTTTAAAAGGTAAGTTTAAATATTAATGTAGCGATCAGTTTTGAGTTCTTCTCATCTATTTTTCCCTGTTTATTGTGATGAAAGCCCAACCAAGAGCCATCAGTAGAAGCTAGCTTAAATGCCGCCTGATAGAGTGACTTTTAGACTAGTAATTGATATATTTATCAATTAAAACCAAATAAGTGTTCCTTTTGTGGGATTACCCTACATTATCTGCCAGGTGACTTCTAACACCTGCTAGTAATTTAATCTCTCGCATTTCTCGCTTGTGAATCTCTCTTCTATATTTCCTGTCAGCTACAACCTTGAAAAATTTAAATGCAACATCATCATCTGACTCCGTGCATCTGGTTCTTTTTATTGCTCTTTTTTTTTTTATCCACAGTGACGTTTTCTCTAACCCTTTGCGTCTTAGTGGCTTTACTGCCTTGCTTGGGGTTAAAAGAAATAAATAGTTTAAACTCTAAACAACGCAGAATCTGATCAGAGAAATTTCATATTAAATCCATCTCGTTCTATATCTCCTTCTTTACTAGCCATATCCATTAAATGTGGTCCAAATTTCCATTACTTGAAAATTGTGCCATAGGATAGCATAGACGGAAATTCCCGTCCTCCGCATGTCATAGGTTATTCTATAAATGTCAACATGGTGTATGGGGTGTATTGTCAGTGGTAGTATCTTTGCAGCGGTCGACGCTGCATTACTCAGGTGAACTGGGATGCGGAACTCTACTGATCCACGGCCTACATCCAACACTCACACATTGCTCCAGACAAGTCGCATAGGCACTGCGACGGTCACACCCCGGTCACAGGCATCGACCTGCTGACTGTGTGAGGGTATTCGAAAGGATTTTCCGATCGGACCGGCGAAAAGAAACGCCTCTTTCTAACCTACCTGCCCCAAGAGGCTATCGACCTGTCGTAAGCCTGGCCGTAGTAGTCGCGCCTCAGAGGTCAATGGTTTTACCAGTGGTGGGGGGACTTCTGGGAGGAGAGGGACGGGATAACTTCAGCATCCCAGGTGCAAAGGCCGTTGCAGTATTTTCTCTTGAATGTTACCAATTTCAGAAATATCTAAGCTGTCAGTCATTTTCTAAGATCAATGGTTTAAAATGGCTTTGTGCGAGGATAGGCTCCCTATGGCTCTTGACGAACCTTGAGGGTTTTCAAAGACAGCAACGACTAAAATGGATATCATATGTAAATAAAAAAGAAAATAATGTTGGCACTACTTCAAATAAACGATTATGAAGGAAACCACTGCCAATACTGAAAAAGAGCTATAACAGTTAAAACTTAAAAAGATTGGACTTAAAAATTTGGTTGGTTGTTTTGTTTTATGGCATATCAACCTCAGTGGGTTATTTAATTTTTGAAAAAATTGTTGGTAAGCCAACTCAAAACCTGTCTTTCTCCAACAGTTATGGCAATTTACAGATTATAAAACAAAAAGAAACTGAGACATGATCACCTAAGTCCCAAAAGAGCATTTTGTACACTGATAATTCACACTATACAGGGCCCAAGAGCCACTCAAGTAGAGCATTATGGGGGTGGGGGGAATTGTAAGGGAGGCGGTAGCAGGAAGTAAAAGAGTATTATGAGAATGAGTAGGATAGGAATCTGTTGGTTGTTTGGTATGGTTTAGCGGCATATCAACATCTTTATGGGTTGATTAATACCGAAATCTTAATATTTTGGACACAACTCTATGGCTTCAACTACAGATAAAATGTATTGTTAGTCATTTTGCTATAAAATGTATTGTTAGTAATTCTTCTTTTTTTTCTTTTTAAGGCAATTCACCCCAAGCAATACGGGAGAGCCACGAGCACGCAAAGGAAAACAGAGGATTGAGAAGAAGAGGAAAGAGGAATAAGGAGGGGAAAAGATACAGAGAAGGACGGGGAACAAGCTCAGGGTGTCAGATGTCGATTAACATGACACTTGAATATTTGAAGATTATAGTCATCGCGGAAGCAAGTAAGGGGAAGGGAGTTCCACAGATAGGAAGTGCGGGAGAAGAAGCTGCTTGAATAAAAGAGACGGTTACATTTAACCGTTTTGACAGTGAAAGGGTGGGACCGAGATGCCAGCCTGGTAGCACGTTTAAATTCATGAAGTCCGGAAACCAGCGAAAGTAGCTCGTCGGAATATTTGGCGTGAAAATATTTGTAGAAGAGACAGAGGGAGGCCACGGCACGTCTGTAGGATAGCGACTGTAAAATAGATGCCAGATCAGGATCTATCATCTTGCATATTCGTCTCTGGATTTTGTCATGGACCTCAAGACGTACAGCGGGAGCACCAGACCAACAGGAATATCTCATGCAGAGACGGATGGTTATATATATATATATATATATATATATATATATATATATATAATCGGCCTGACGATTGCGTCTAGCATGAAACAGCTTGTCGCCTCTAAGTGTTGACTTCTATGTCCACTTTTATATCTATTTTTATATACACTCTATCTATGATATTGAGCACTTTATCCCATAAATATAGCATACGTTAAATTTATATTTCTTTATATATATATATATATATATATATATATATATGTGTGTGTGTGTGTGTGTGTGTGTGTGTGTGTGTGTGTGTGTGTGTGAATGACAGCAATATTCCATGCAAGGACGGGTTGATAATTTTATTCCTAGGAATATGTATTGTTGCATTTGTTTGTTATATAAGAAATGTATTGCTGGCATCTGTTTTGCTTTTATTTGTTAGGTGCGATGCTAACAGGTACTAACACCCCAAGTCAGGGTCGACCTGGGAACAGCAGAGGTGGTCCTACGATCCTCGAAAGTTCCAATTTCCCGATCAGAGGTCTTGCTGCCGGATGTAACTTATCGTCACACCCAGCACCAGATATCGGTAGGACTTAAATAGAGCAAGATTGCAGTTGTCGGAGAAGCAGTTTGATACAAAAAGTAGCAGTTCTGGGGAAGAAGCTCTCTGAGTTGAACTTGCTTTTTTTATGAAGGGAACACGAAAGGAACGAGGATGGTTTACCACCGTGGACACGGCAGGGCGGGCCCTAGCCGTGAAAGTCCGAGCTGATGGCTCTAAGTAAGGTAACTCGTCCAAACACCTGCTGGGGTAGTAGCACCTGTTAGTGTCCCAAATATGAGAAAATAATGAATCCCCCAAACAAAAACAAAGCACTATAAAAAAAGATTAAAAATATATTTTTTTATATAAAAGTTTACAATGCGAATTTACAGTAAAAGTTACCAACAATACAATTTATTGTAAAAATGACCAACAACATATTAAACGAAAAATACATTTTATCTTTAGTTAAAAGCATCATACAATTGCACTTAAAATATATTTCCTTGAAGCCATAAAATTGTGCTCAAAATGTTTAGTTTTCGGTAGCTATCTATCTATCTATCTATCTATCTATCTATATATATATATATATATATGATTATATACCGCTAAACAAAATCAACTAGGCAACCGAATATCTGCCGTAGTAATAGGCTGGCGACGTTTCGTCAGTGGGATAAGTGTTATAGACTATGGATTAATTCATCACCCACAAGGTCGCGCAAACGATTTTGAAATCTGTCGAGGCTGGACAGTGTGTAAAATCGTCAAATCAATCTCATATTACTAAATATTAAAAACACATTCATATTAACAGCATATACTTACAAATTCCTACAATATATATGATAAACCTTTTAATTTTCGTATGTATATACATATATATATATATTGTATCTGTACTGATGTCATTTTACACACACACACACACACACACACACACACACACACACACACACACACACACACATATATATATATATATATATATATATATATATATATAATTGAAACTGAGTCTTTGCTGATACATAGGCCTGGGCGTCTCAGTTTCTCTGCTGTAATTGTCGCCAAGCGGTCTGTGGGCGATTCTCGTTTCGACCCCGGGAGTCTCACATGTATTATTGTCT